ACAAATGGACGCACTGACCATGTGGTGACAGCACATGCCTTATTCTGCACCTGCAGCCTGAAACTTTCCCTTTTCCAAAAAGAAACTGAACCACGATGAAGCACGACCTGGTTGGGTTGCCATGGTTATCTTATATTTGGCACCCACCAAAGACGACATGCCTTTAGAGGACCTGGATTTTCCCTTGCTGACTAATTTTGGCAAAGGGGAAGGATTACAACATGAAGGACTGGTCTCCGAAGCCCTTGGCATGGCTCACAAAGGGAGGGCATTACCGCTGGCACAAATGCAAAGGAGGAAAAACGGGCAACAGAATCACCCAAGTGAGCCTCGCAGCACACTCCCAACCCTGCTTTTCACATCAAGTGAATAATTAAGGGAAAAAGGGAAAGAGGAGGAAATGGAAACTGCTTTTATATGAGAAACATACACACATACCCCAAGCAATGTAAATGAAAATCAATAGCCTTGACCAAACCGGATTTTTACTTCACATACACAGCTGCAACAGTGATTCTCTACAGTTATTGGCACGGGGAAAGGGGGTCAAAGTTGGTGTTTGAGGTGGGGAGAAGGAGGTCCTCAGGCATTTAGTGAATAAGTCTTTCTTAGTCTTTGAGAGCAGATAGTGTGGTAAGGTTTGCATAACACTTTATCTTCTATCTTCACAACAGCCCTGTGAGTTAGGTGCTGCTTATTGATACCTGGATGAAGAAACCGAGGCTCAGAGTTTTGTGACTTGCCCAAGGTCATACAGCTGTCTCAGTCAGGCCAAAAGTCCAGTGTTCATGACTCCAAATCTACCAATCTACCCTTTAGGCACACCGCCTCTTATGCATAACAAACATCACTGCTGTGAAAATAGTCACCCTCCTTAGGGAAAAACAAATGTTCTGTGACCAAGGTTGGAGAAGGGGAAGATAGTGATGGAGTGTATCCGTGTAGACAGGGGCATGACACATTAGGGCTGCATAGGAGAACGTCGTTGAGGAAAATGCCTGGACAAAATGCACATGGCAGGGAGGGAGGCAGGGGTTGTCTCAACATGATTTCTGACTTTCCTTCCTATAAAATAATGGGAAATATCTGACAAAGTGTGCAAAAATCTCTGCTTTTTTCCTTTGCTGAGAACCCTAAGGAAAAATGAAAAGATGACCGCTCTTGAATTTATGTCCCAAGCAAGGAACATGCTTTAAAAGTGAAAGAGGGTTGGGGAGCAAAAGAACTCTAAGGTGGCCCCCCTCTTCAGTATTTTGTGGAGGAAGGAAATTCTCATGGATTCAGCTTATCACAACAAATTTAATTTCAATCTTTCTCCCACACCAATCCATCTTCAACCCAGCGGCCAAATTGATATTCCTAAAGCACAGGTCTGACTACTCATTTTCTGTTCTTGAAACTCAGGTGGTTCTCAATAACTTCTAATATAAAATACAAGCTCCTCTGCTTGACTTTAAGGCCCCTAGGTGGCACAGTGGATAGAGTGCCAGGTGTGGAGGCAGGAAGACTCAGCTTCTTGAGTTCAAATCTGGCCTCAGATATTTTACTAGCTGTGTGACCCTGGGACAGTCACTTGACCCTGTTTGCCTCAGTTTTCTCATCTGTCAAATGAACTGGAGGAGGAAATGGCAAAACATTCCTGTATTTTTGCCAAGAAAACCCCAAATGGGGTCACAAAGAGTTGGCCATAACTGAAAAATTATTGAAAACACACACACACACACACACACACATATACACACACTACCTTTTCAGGCTTACTACACATTACTGTCCTTCAGCCACTCTAAATCCAGTCCAATTGACCTATTGTACAAATTGACCTATTTCCCATCTCCCTTCCTGTACTCAGACCATCCCATATGCCTGGAATGCCTTCCTTACTCTTTGTCATTGTTCAGTTCAAGTGCTGCCTTCTTGAGGACTATCCTGATTATCCCACTTACTACGGTCCTCCTCAAATCTCTTGGGAAATTACAACATTTTATATTTTGTACTTATTTTTCTGTGTTTGCATTGGGCACGTACTCTAAGCTTACATTGCCTTTCAGCTCGCAAATGTTCAGCACAGGGCTCTCATTTTCATTTATAGAATACTCAAGAATAACACACATTAACCTTAAGAAAAAAATCATTTTGCCTCAGTTTATTTCACAGTGTAGGGGTTAAAAGTGTTGGAGCTTTCAGCTGCATCTGTGGGTAGGAGATGGGTCAATTTCAAGTTTTCCATGTTTTTAGCACTTCTAAATTGTTATCCTCTCCTCCCCCTGCCTTTTCCCTTGGGGTTAAAAGCCTTAGCTCTTCTTACTAGACAGGTGATTAACTCACTTGAATTCACCTTCCTTCTACCATGATCTCCAATTTATGCTCTCTGCATCTTGTTTGTATATTGTTGTTTGCAATGTCTCCCCCATTAGAATGTGAGCTCTTTGGGAAAAGGGACTAATTTTTTGGGGGGGTGTCTCTTTTTGTAACCTCATCACTTAAGCACAGTGCCTGGCACAAGGTAGGCACTTATTTACTAAGCGCTGGTTGACTTGACTTGAACCTTAGGACTCAAAAATCTGCTAATTTCCCGGCACTGAAAAGGAAGAGAAAACATTAAAGCATAATAGTTTTCATTTATATTGCATAGGAGCATAGATTTAGAGCTGGCATCTCTAAACCTGGAATATGGATCTTATATGATTCAACTCTATAGATGAAGAACTCAGTCCCAGAGAATTCAAATCAGTAGTGTCCGACTCAAATAGAAATGTGACCCAGATCACTACATACTGACTTAGAAAACCACAAATGAACAATATCTATGTTGTATCTATGTTGCATCGTGTTTCTATTTATTTTGTTGAATATTCCCCAATTTCATTTCATTTCATTTATTTCTGGTTCTGGTATACTCAGGAGTGTTGTGGGCATGTGGTTTGCTGGTGGCATATTTGACAACTCCTGTTGAAATGACTTGCCCAAGTTCATCTGGGCAGCAAGATTGAACCAAACTCATAGGATTATCAATCTACAATTAGAAGGGACCCTCTCATTATACAGATGAGGAAACTGAGGCGTACTGGCCACACAGTCATTAACTGTCAGAGGTGGGATTTGAACCAGGTCTTTAAATCTCAGTCAAGTGCTCTACAGAGGTCAAAGCCTGGACTTTTTCTATTGTGTCATGCTGTCTACCATATGTATGGAATTAAAAAAAATACTTTACATACATAATTTGACTTGATCCTAATAACCACTCTTTGTGAGAAAGGTGGTACCACTGCTATTCTTCCCATTTTCCAGACAGAGTAACAAACTCAGAGATGGTAACTTGAAAAAGGTCACTCTGCTGGTAGCTAGCAGTGCCAAGATTGATGCCTAAGTTTCTAAATTTCTTGTTCTTTCCACTAGGCTATATTATGCCAGCCCAACTGAAATTAACACCATTTCTCTGGAAAGAAGCCATTGGGGGGGGGGTGTTAAAATACCACTGATTTATCTTCCACCATCAACTGGAAACCACACTTTACATTTGTTCCGGTGACTTTCAGCCTGGCTATTTCTAGATGCTTGAGAAACATTAACTCACAATCAGAATTTAGCAAGCTACTGAAGGTGAGAGAATATGAGAAAAGCAAGTGGCTAGCCAAAGGGAAGGAGCGATTTGCAATTCAGAAGCACAGGACACAGAAGTTTCTCTACTTTAGTCCCAAACTCCTCTCATTTCCCCCCATTTCCCAACAGGGAATAATGGAAAAACTAGATGAGAAATTCCATTTAGTTTGTTCCCTCTAGTTTGAAAGGGATTCCTGTATGGACATTGGCTTTTATAGTTCAACCAGCACACAGAGGCAGCAGTACGTCACCAAGTTGGACTAAAAGACCTCAAAGATCCCCTGTAGCTTTAAATCTGTGATCTAGTAAACATCTAATATGCCCAATAATTAGGTGGACACGAGAGGGACTCTCTCTCCAAATTGCTTACTAAGGCTCTAAAAAGAATTTGTGTCTTGTATGAAAGTTTGGGGAGAGACAAGTGTCTCTCATATCTTTCTGCCCACCTTCCTTCCTGCCTGCCTGCCTGCCTTCCCTGTTTCACCTTTTTTTTTGCCTCTTCTGCCCTCCCTCTCCTTCCCCACTCACTCCCTCTTGCAGAGAAAACTGAAATAATCAAAACTATTCTTTCCTTCAGTTGATTATTGTCCACTTTCAAACAATTTTGGCTTGAGATTTTCTTCTTGGAAACTGTCCACATAGCTTAGAATGACACAGCTAAAGAGAGGTTGAAATGAAAAGCTACCAAATTCCCTGTATTCTGTTTGTGTGACAGTAGAGGGTCAGGAAGACATCTCGTTGGAGGGAGGGAGACCAGGGAGATAACAAAGCTGGCAAAAGTTTTCATTTCCATTGACCAAGAACAATTTTTAAAATGGTAACTGGAACCCAAAATCTTAGTGTTTGAACCCACTGGTTACAATAATAAGTAAAACAGAAGTAGGAAGGAAGGACTACACCATGGGATGGATCCTGTCTATTGCCTCTTAACCTGAAACAAATTAGAGAGGTACAAGGGGGCCATTTGCCTCAGAATGAGATATACAGAAGAGTTTGTGATAGGCTCAGAACCAACAGAATCATATTCAATACCTACAAAGCATCTAGGGACCTGGAACCTAGAATAAAGAAAACTGTTCTTTACATTAGGCTATATCATGCCAGCCCAATTTCCTCTGGAAATTCATCCTATTCTGCCAGAAGCCATGCTTATGGAGGTCAGATTCCATCAATTTATCGTCTACCACTTTATTATAGCCTGTCTTTATCACTCTTCAGCAGTGTGGATGGCTGGGAATGAAGATGAGGAGTAAGCCCCCACAGCGAAGGCATGCATAAAAACATGTTAAACAAGACCTGTGTCCCCTCAGCACCTCTTCCTAGCCCCTCTGAGGGGAGCCATGGATCTGACCCTATCACTACCCCGGCTCAGTATTACCATGATCTCGTGTTGTTACCTGGGCTGGAGCACTGGATGAAAGGTGAGTCAACTCTCCAATTCTGGTAGCAGCCCGGGGATCACTAGAGCTGATCAAAACAGGAGCACTAATTTCCATGGAATGCCTATTGCTCATAGCCTGGGAGGATTTGTGCGTCATACTGAGGGCAGTGAAGGAGTGGCGTTTCTTGGCATTCTTCTTGCCATCGATACGCCGCTGAATGGCACTGACTGCTCCCGAGCTGCTTAAGGTAGAACACTGGGCCAGATTGCCTGCCATGTTGGTGTCAGATGGCAAGGAGACATCGCAGCCAGATGCAGCAGCTAAGCATGTCTTGTCCATTTCAATAAGCTGTTTGGCGGATTCGTTGAGCTGAGTGCAAGAGGGGAAAAAAAGGGGGGAGGGGGAACATTAAATAATTGTCACATGCTATTTCCAGCTCTTTGTACTCTCTCCCTTTCTCTATTAGCACTTTTAAATAGATACTGGCAAAGTCCCCAAATGGGTCGGCTCTTTCTAGCAGCCTGATCCAGCACAAATGCTATGGTAAAAACAAAAACAAAGACAAAACCCAAAACTTAAAAAAAAAAAAAAAGAAAGAAAGATGGAATGACATCTGTAAGTTTTACTGAAAAATTTTCTAGAAGAGCCGCACTTACATAAAGGCTCATGGAACTGTGACAGAAAGCAGGATGCTTGTAGAACACAGGAGACTTCTTTTCTTTCTTTTTTAAGTCAAGCCTACTAGGTTTTGTTCAAATTTTTGACTGTGATCTACAATTCTGGTATACCTGGCTCAGGAGACAAGCAAAGACAGGGAGGGACGAGATACCATTTTTCAAGAAAATACAGCAGCTAGCCAAACAGTCAATGTGGTCTGACGCATTCTGAACGTTTGACTTGAAGGTATGCATCAGTGAACTATGGTTTCATTACTCCAGCCTATATTTAACATTACAACCAGCTTTTAGGGCTTCCCTTTATAGATTTGGATCACTTTAGGAAAATCTGATGATTATGACTGGAGTGCTAAATTTCTGATTTGTGGTTCTCTGCTAAGAGCCCAGGAGTTTTGGTCTGAATGTTGTGATTTTAGTTTAGAGCCATTTTTTACAGGTATTTGAAGGGGTTTGGGGGAGAGCTCAAACAAGTCACTGCTTTTATTCTGCTGCCTTCATGTTGTGATTTTAGTAATAAGAAGTTTTGACTTTTAGCAGTAAGCCAAGATGGGGTAATTATCTTCTCTTTTCTCCAATATGGCCCTTCTGGTCCCGCGATCACGTGTCTGAGTCTGACTCAATTCTAGAATGTTGGAGCTAGATGGGAGCTTGGGAACTAGCTAATTTAACTCCCTCATTTTCCAGATGATTAAACTAACGGTCATTAGAGATCAGTGATTTCTCCAATGTGTCACAATTAGTGAGCTAGACTAGAACCTGGGCCATCTTCTTCTGATTCCTCTTCCAATGCATGATGGTCATATGACCAGGACTAAAAAAATTCCTGGGGAAGATGGCACAGAGTTGGAGGATCATTTCTTACATTATTCTACTCTACCAGCAGGTAATATTATCAAGGCAGATAACCTCTCAGAAGAGGTTCTGATACTTAATAGTAACCATCAGAAGACACTGGAAATACCACGATCGAATTTCAACGTGGTTAACTGGTAGTATTTCATTCCAACCAATTAAATGAGCATTCTTTTTTCATTAAGCTTGAGAGCTGTACTTTTTGCAAAGCATACTTTGTATCTATCATAGATAGTAGCTGTGATTTGGGGGAAGAGAAGACATGACAACCTTGGTGTACCTGGAGTTACAACTCACACACATTTACGTCAAGTAAGAGATTGATTCATGCTCAGCAGCCTTCAGGTTAACACATGGCATGAATAATCTACCTGTTCTTTGCCACATACTTTCTAAAGAATAAATTACAAAAGTACACTGAATGGAATTGAGGCAGTTGGGTAGCACACTAGAAACAGCACTAGGCATGGAAAACTCATTTTTGTGAGTTCAAATCTGGCCTGAGACATTTACTAGCTGTGTGATCCTGAACAAGTCATTTTAACCTGTTTGCCTCAGTTTCCTCATCTGTAAAATGAACCGGAGAAGGACGTGGCAAGCCACTTCGGTGTTTTTGCCACGAAAACTCCAAATGAGGTCACAAAGAGTTGGACACTGCTGAAAAACGACTGAACAGCAAAAAAGGAAAAAAAAAGGAATATTTTCTGGAGCGTAAATGGTAACTTATGACTTGGAAAAGTCCTTTTAAAATAAAATCCTCTGCAGATGCCCATCCACTGGGGAATGGCTGAGCAAGTTGTGGTATATGAATGTAATGGAATACTATTGTACTATAAGAAATGATGAACAGGCTGATTTCAGAAAAACCTGGAAAGACTTATACAGTCTGATGCTGAGTGAAGTGAGCAGAACCAAGAGGACTTTGTACACAATAATAGCCACATTATGCGATGACTAATATTGTTAAACTGAACCCTTCTCAGCATTATGAGGATCTAAAACATCTCCAGAGGCCTCGGGATGGAAAATGCTGTCCACATCCAAAGAAAGAACCATGGAAGTCCAATTACTATCACTTATTTTTACCTTCTGTTGAGTTTTGTTTCATCTTTCTGATGGTTCCTCCTATTGGTTTTAATTTTTACTTACAACTTCACTAATGTGAAAATATGTTTAATAGGAATGTAAATGTAAAGCCTACATCAGATTGTGCACAGTCTTGGGGAGGGTGGGGGGGAGGAAGGGGGAGAAAAACTTTCAACTCAAAAGCATATGGAAGTGATGGTTGATAAATCAAAATAAATTAATAAAATTTAAAAAAAAATAAAATCCTCTCCCTGATGATCAATGCCTTTCATAACTTGCTCTGGCCGTCCTTCCCCCAACCCCCCCCCCCATGTACTTTGTGATCCAATGATACTGGCCCCCTTACTATTCCTCCCACAAGACTCTCCATCTCCTCACTATGGGCATTTTCACTGGCCATTTCCCATGCTTAAAGCACTCTCCTTCCTCATCTCTGCCTCCTGGCTTCCTTAGCTTCCTTCAAGTCTCAGCTGAAATCCCACCTGCCACCCCTCTAGCCCTAACTACTTTCAGTTCTAGTGCCTTCCCTCTGTTAATTCCCAATTTATCCTGTATATAGCTTGTTTGTACACAGATACTGGCATGTTGTCTCTCCATTGGACTATGAGCTCCTCAAGGACAGAGACTGTCTTTTAACTTTCTTTGTATTCCCAGCACTTTGCACAATGCCTGACACAAAGTAGATGCTTAATAAATATATAATGACTATTATAAACCATCACCCTTTGATTCCTGATGTTTCAACATGGCTTATCCCAAGGTCATAAGGGACAATTGTCATAAAAAGATGAAATAAAACACATACATATTTTCATTGTGTAAATATAAATGAATGATACAGGACAACATTAAGGTCTTGGACTAAATTTCCATGAGAGAAGAGGAGGAATCCTTGAACAATTCTGAGGTTCTGGGCCAATTGGAGTAATCCTAGGACCAAGCAGGAGCTAGACCAGTGGAACGTCAAGGGCCAAGATTACAATGTAAGGGATTCACACCTTTGGACTTTACTAATGCTGTGAGTTATGTAGATTGTGCAGGTCCAGAAAAAGCTGGCCCCCTAGCAACCTCCAGGTCTTTCCCCCATGGGTAAGTCTAGGGAGTGATTATATAGGTCCTGGAGGAGATAAATTTTACTGGGGGAGAGGGGATATTAACATTCTAACTACCTCTAAAGTCTTTCCTTTATTTTTTATGACTGGGGGGTTATTTATATGGGAGACTTGTCATTATTATACCTGAAGGAAGGAGTTAGGGCTCTATCAGAGGGCAGAGGACTATATATGAGTAGACAGAAGGAGACACAGAACAGCCATGGAGGTAAACAATGCCAAAATTTGACAAGTGATTGGATATGAGGGCAGCCAGGTGGTATAGTGGAATGAGCACTGGGCCTGGAGTCAGGATTCAAATTGGGATGAGTTCAAATTTGGCCTCACACACTTACTAGCTGTGTGACCCCGGGCAAGTCACTTAATCCTGTTTGCCTCAGTTTCTTCATCTGCAAAGTGCGCTGGTGAAGGAAATGGCTAACCACTCCAACATCTTTGCCAAGAAAATCTCAAAAGGGGTCATGAAGAATCAGACATAACTGAAAACAACTAAACAACAATGGATATGTGGAATGAATAAGAGTGATGAGTCAAAGATAATGCCAAGATTTTGAACCTAGGTGGCTAGAAAGATGATAGTACTCTTGACGGAAACAGGGAAGTTTAGAAGAATAGGCTTTTGGGGGAGGAGATAATGAGTTCTGTTCTGGACAAACTGAGTTTGAGATGTCTATGGAATATCCAGTTTAAAACATCAGTCAACAAGAATTTATTAAACACCAAGGATACACTGACAAAATGAAATAATCTCTGCCCTCAGGGAGCTTACATTTTAATGAAATGTAAACAGATAGTAATAAAAATTTCCTAAAGCCGCTGCTTTTCTTTGCAAGTGGATTCTACTAGCAAAGTAAGCGCATCTTAGAAATAGCTCCCTAGTGTCAAACATAATATGGGGGAAGAAACACTGAATTTGGAATCAGAAGACCTGGGTCCTAAGCCTGACTCTGTTTCTTAAACCTAGGTGTCTACTCTGCCTCTCTGAGCCTCAGTTTCCTTATCTCTAAATGAAAGGTATGGACTTCCAGGTCCTTTTCCACGTAATCCCATGCAATGCTTGGGCTGCCACTGAGCCACTAGGCAGGGAGCATATTTACAATCCATAGTCCCCAAGTCTAACAAAAAGCATTATGTAGAAACAAGCAAACCTGGTCTTGCATTCATGTTATTCTTTCCTGGGCCCTCTCTAATTTTATTTAGAAGTCATTTCTTAAAGATAAACCCATTACTTGATTGTGACTCTTTTTGGTGTGGTGGTGGTGGTGGAGAACAAAGAATCAGTATAAAAATGCCCTCTACTTCAATGAAGAAGGGTGAAAAATGGGCCTATATATGGACTGGTGATTGAGTACTACCTTACCTGCTACCTGAAAAGTTCCCTTTTCAATTGTCAAGTTAAAGGAGAGAAGTAAATGACAAAAAAAGGTGGTCTTTAAGGGAGAAGGGAATGTCCATTGATCAGAATGGTCCTGGTATTATCTACTAGGACCATACCCCTGGTAATTACCATTAAGGGCCACAATCACCAAAGTCAGACTCTCTATTTTTAACTATTTTTTTTAGAGAGATGAGCTCTAAACATGCAAAGGATATAAAAAGTGGCGTTTCTTCCCCACAAGGGCAGTTGGTTGGCTGATCTGAC